GATAACAAGTAAAGCAGGTTACCAGCAATTTTGAGAGCTTGCAGAAACAGCTTGCAAGGAAAATGAAGCTCCCTATTTTCATAGCAGATGCATTCACAGCAAAAGCATTTCGTGGGAATCCTGCTGCTGTTTGTCTCCTAGAAAATGTAAGTATTGGTTTGGAAATGCAGTGCTTGGAATTCTAGATTCCTGTAGAACCAAATATTTCTTTTAAAAAAATCAGACCTAACTGTTTACCTCTTTGTGTTTTTTGTCAAATGATACCAGCAATGTTCATGTCTGTGAGTTGACTTTGGTGAGAGTGCTTACACCTACATGCTTAATTCTAGAGAAATGAAGATTCGCGTAGAGGACTAGAGCTCCCTTTTAGCCACCAGGTTTTCACTTAGCACCAAATGTGAAGGAGAACAGAATGAGATAAGTTTATGTGACTGGACATGGCTGATACTACATTTAGTATGAAAGATCCAAACTGGATATTTTTAATCTTAAATAGGGTCTACACAGTTAGAAATTCTTTTCAGGATGAAGAAAATGAGATGTTTTGCAAGGAATTAAGTAGACAGAAGGAATTAAGCTCTAGTACAGGGAGCACTTAGTTCACTGAAAGTTTCACGTTAAAAATGGCTTTTTAATTAAAATAAGTATTACTAACAGAATAATTAAATACTCCCTGACCTTAAGTGCTTTGTGTTGGTCCCTGGGTATTAGGAAACAAGCCAAGGTACCCTTCCACTCAGAGCAGTTAGTGCCAGAATATGTGTATGTGAGAATTACTTCAGAAACACAGTAAGCAATTCATGATCTTAAATAAGTCTTACTAAGGTGGGCAAAGTGTGTGGGGGCATTCGTGTGCAGTGAATCTCAACCTGGCCTGCACATTAGAGTCACCCAAGGAACTTTAAAACTTCTATCCTCAGGCTGCATCCCAAGCCAGTGAAAACAGAATCTCTGGGGGCGCAACCCAGGCAGCACTGTTTGTCAGTCTCCCTGTGTGAGTCTAGTGTGCAGTCAAGATGGAGAGGAGCGGAGGTTGTCCCGAGATGGTGAATACTGTTAACTGAGTCCTTGGTATGCTGCTTTTCTCTCTCAAGGGGAGCAGCAAATGGCCAGCAAGAGTTCAAGAGTCCTCAGCTCACTTTAACAACACGTTTATTATGCAACCTTGTGCTGGCATTTTCCAGCCACACAATGCAGAAAGAAAGTAATAAAGTTAACAGGCTTTATCAGATAACACAAGAGTTTGTGAGGATTAGCAAGAGAATAATTAACAACCAGCTTCTAAATAGTAAACTTTCTTTAGAAACAATCTGGCAAATACAAGTTCACCTGAGGAATTGTGAAACTGACTAAAGCTGCTGTCAAGAGCCTCAGCATATTTGCCCATGTTTCCATGTGTAATATCCCTGTAGAGTTTTGAAAATAGTTCCAAGTGATTTATATACTAAGTTTTCACCAGATGACAAGGATCAACATTATTCCTTAATTTACTCTTTTTATTTCCAGTGTACTCACTAAACAGTAGACTTAAGGATCTCTCTCCCTACCTACCTACCTACCTCTATCTCTCTATCTACCTTTCCATTAAAATATATTTTACATGTTATTTATATATTTGGAAAAACGAGGAAGTAAATTTTTAAGCAAAGAACTTAACATAATTCAAAGCAAAATGCTTCGGCATAAATGGAAGAAAGAAAATGCTGAGGCAGTCCATGACTGGGGACACTCTCTAAAGAGTGCCCCAATTCACTTCTGGGCCTTGGACCTGTGAGACCAGGCTAATTTGATGGCCTGTCAGGGACAAATGAATAGATATCTAAAGACTAGTTTGCTAGTTTTCTATTCTGTGGACATGAGAATCCTGATCTCCTGGAGGCTAATTTAGCAATTTCCCCAATTCATAATCAATAAAAATTATAAAGGAGGTATAAACTGTGTTTTCTACCCTTACTATGGCTGGAGACAGTGGATACCTGAAACACCTAGAGAGAACACAAGTGAACTCAAGAAAATAGCAGAGACAAATAAGTGCTAAACCTTACAATGCTGACCACAATTCAGGTGTTTAGCCTGTCATTAACATATTCTACAAATATTTATCAACATCCACCATGAGTGACGTTCTGGGCTACAGATGGGAGATACAAAGATTAGTAAGTTTGTCTGCCCTTGAGGTGCTCAAAGTCTAATGAGGGACACAGATGTGTAATCCTGATCATTATTCAGAGGTCACCACAGAGGCTAAGAGACCTGAAGGGGCCAGGTACAAAGGGGACTCAGAGAACAATGTTGGGTTTTATGAAGGAGGAAATACTCCAGATTTTAAGTGCAGGGCTTTGAAGGAATATCCTTTCTGTTTTGTTTAAAATTATTTAAAATTTGACCAAGATGAGACTAACCACAGAAAAACTTGGTGGACAAACTAAAGACTCGGTAATTGCTTTTTGAAACTTGGTAAAAGACTGCTGCAAGGAAAGTAAAAAATTTTGGGAAACAGTTCCAAGAGCCTATATATACATTAATCCTCACCCAAGGACATTCTTAGAAAAAGGAAGGGGGGAGAGAGAGAGAGCAAGAGAAGAGAGAGAAACATCGATGTGAGAGAAATATCGACTGGCTGCCTTCTGTAGGCTCCCCACCTAGGGATCAAACCTGCAACCCAGGGGGAGAGAGTAACCAAAGAATTTATATGTATATATGCACAACCCAAGGACATGGACAATGGTGGGGAGAGGGACTGGGGAGTGGGAAGAGACGGGGTAGAACGGGTCTTTGGGGAGAAAAAGGGACATCTGTAATATTTAAAAAAAAAAAAAAATTTAAAAATATATAAATAAAACACCAAAGCCTGAAATAAATCAGCTTTATGTTATATAAAAAAACCCCCTGCAACCCAGGTATGTGTCTTCACCAGGAATCTAACTGGCAACCTTTTGGTGTACTAGATGAGAAGCTCCAACCAACTGAGCTACTCTGGCCAGGCTCCAAACAATATTTTAAAAATGAAATAGATACATTAGGATGATAGCTGAGTAAAAAACTACTGGAACTCATGACCAACTACTGGAATAGATCAGAGGACTGAGATAGTGCTGAGGGATGATATTTTGTGTATTTTTCTGTAAACTAGCTTTAATATTTATTGAAAATAACATATCAACAGGGCTAGGGAACCCATATTTATTCTTCTTCATATTCTAATTAAGCCTTCAGTTTTTTGTTTTGTTGTTGTTTGTGTGTGTGTGTGTGTCTGTGTGCGCGCGCGCGCATGCTTGTTTAGCACAAGGTTTAACTGCAGCACTGCTGGCATTTTGGACTGGGTAGTTCTGTGTTATTTGAGGGCTGTCATGTGCATTGTAAAATGTTTACCAGTATCCTTCACCTCTACCCACTGGATGACAGTAGTTCCCCCTACTCCCTCAGTCATGGCAATCAAAAATTGCCCCAGGTTGAGATTTGTTGCTTCAGAGGATACCTTTTCTAAAATGGTTTATATGAGTTTTTCTGTTAAAATTATTCATAAAAAAAGTTTTGGAAAATGTATGTGTGTGTGTGTCTGAATGAAGTATATATATGTGTGTGTATATATATCTGTATCTATATCTCTATTTCAATTCAAATGACATTTACTGGCTGTTTAAAATAATTATTGTTTTCAACACCAATCATCATTTCCATTGACAGCAAGGAGAATTGGTTTCACACTTTTAAAAGAGGAATGCTTAGTTTTAGTTCCTGAACTATTTTGCTGTTCCAGTTTTCCTTATTAAATTTAGAGACTACCCCAAACCCCTTTACAGCTTAGTGGGTTATGTATTTAAGGAAAAAAAACGGGTGTATAGCAATACTATGTTCAAGCCAGGCTTTAAGTCATGTCGGGAGGCTTATGGTGCACTGGCCATCTCCAAACTCGATGGCCTTCCTTGAAGAGAGGCTTGGGGTGTGATCACACTCAGTCAGAGACTCCTGGGGTTCCTAGGGTATGTCAACCTCATATCTCATTTTTATGCGGCAGAAAAGGGATTGAGGAGTGCAGAGAAGATTCTTCTAAGTCACTGAAGGGGTTTCCTTTGCCCAGTGTTTGGGGAAAGAGCAATGCAGAGGAGGAGATGTTAATGTAAGAATTTCCGCTTCCCAGGTATCCTCACTGACTTCTACAACACAGCCCTCAGCTTTGGAAGCAGTGACTTCAGACAAATTCAGCCCAATTCAGTGCTAACTGCTTTTCATGTTATCTCATTTCACCCTCACAACCACTCTATGAGTAGGTCTTAGTATTATTAGTCCCATTTTACAGATGGGGAAACAGAGGCAGAGAAAGGGTAAGTACTTTGCCAGAGGTCACACTCTAAGTGGATGACTTGAGGATCCCACCTCAGGTCTGCTTGACTGTGGAGCCTGTGCTTTTAACCATTTTACTTGCTATTAAACTACATGTTCTCCTCTTTTATGTGTTCTCACTGCATTCCTTACTTCCTAGATGGTAACAAGCATTACTCTTGTAATTCACTCAATGCCTGTCTTCCTCATTAGACTGCACATTCTATATGATCTTAGATCAATTCTGACTTGTTCCAGCACACCTGGCCCAGCACATGGGAGGCACTAAATAAGTATCAGTTGAGTGAAAGTAAAAATATAATCAATTAAATGGTGGCAAAATCTCCAAAGACTAGGTATCCTCTAGTTAACCAACAATTATTAGTTTCTTATATTCTCATTGGTGGGGTGGTGGGTGGGGTATGGTAAGTGAGTATGAGCTTTGGGTTCTATGATGGAGCTGGAGAGACTAGGCACCTATTAGAACCACTAGGAACAACTAAAGATAATCTACAGTTTGAGTACTGCATTGTGCAGACATAACTTCACAATGAGAAATCCAAGTGCCTCGGAAGGAATCTCTCATTTTTTCCTGGATGATTTAGAACTTTCTATATCCAATTGCTTTTCCTTTGCTGGAATCTGCAGTAGAGGGACACATAAAGACGGAAAGCAAGACTATTATGTTTAGGCTGTCATATTTCTGAACTTCCACAAGATGGGAGTATTTTAAAACGTTACTCTGATTTGCTGATACGTAAATTTTTTGTGGGCCTTATGGTGAGGGAACCTCAGTGCCCTAAGCCAGTACATTGGAACTTAAAAACAAAAAAATCATGGCTCTGTTATTTCTGTTGGAAATTTGTCTCATGTGACATTGCCAAAAGGGAAATGAGTATTAAAGCAAGAGAATTAAAAACTGTTGGTTTGTAATTATTATGTGCTGCATTTGAAAATAAGCTTGAAGTGAAAATGGAAAAATTATTTAAGCCAAAATTCAGTATTTTAAGTGAATGCAGCCTCTTTCTTTTGTTTCTAAACCTCTCAAAGCTGAACCAATATTAGCCTCCTCAAGATTCACCATTATCTTCACCTTTGGTTCTGGTGTAGAAAATCAGCTGCATATGGTGCATATTGAGGGCTGCTACTATCAAACTTTCTACCTTATCTCTTTCCCTCAGGCAAACAGCAGGTGCATTTTTAAGTGTCCTGGGATAGAAGTTAGTTACAGAAATTCAAATTGCATTTGGGGTGATACACCAAGGTAGAAAGGATTCAAGAGCTGATGGTCAGTAAAGCAGGTGTTCTAGCTGATGTGCAAAACAGCCCATTTGCAAGGAAATTTACTACCAATAGATGTGAGCTTGGCTTTAATGCTTCCAGAGACTCCTGTCCTAGAAGCAATGGATAAAGAAAGGAAGAACAAGGATAGGGAGAGTTTGGCCAGATCAGAGAGAGGAAGGACTGGCAGGCTCTGCAGGTTTCTGCAGCCAAGGAGGCAAACCCAGGAAGAACAGCACAGGCTTTTCTTTGTCACCCCTCCATTCACCACTGAGCCCTGTGATTGCAGATTCTGCATTAGGGAATTAAATGGCTTCCATTTTCTCTCAGGTGTTGTATGCACAGAGAACATTCTATAGGCCATGGCAATGCTTGAGTTCAATTTCTTTTTTTCAAATTATAAGAGAAAGTTTATTTAGAAAATTACATAGGCAGTAGAAGTGAGCTAGTTGGGCTGCGTAGGCTCAGGAAACAAGTTACAGAGGCAGAAGAAGGGCTCTTGGAGCTTAGAAGAGAGAAGGGTAAATGTAAAGTGCCTGGGGGGAAAGGGGAAGGTGCTGGCCTCACTCCTGAGACAGAGAGCACACCTGAGTTCAGTTCTTAACAGTGTTGCCTTGTTGGCTGGGAGGCCCCAACAACCACCCCCCTTCCTCTACTCAGGTGGGACTTCTCACTCCCCAGGCTCACAGGTGTGACATCCTAATTCTCCTTACCTCCCCTCACAGAATCCTAGAGTGTCAAAGATTTAACAGAAGGCAAACAGACGTGAGATCAAGTATCTTGCCCAAGAAGCACCCCCAATACATTTTCCTATCCAACTCACCAAAATTTGCCCTTTTAAAAAGTTCAGTTCAGCCCGGCCGGGCATGGCTCAGCGGTTAAGCGTCGACCTAGGATCCAGGCAATCAGGGTTCGATTCCTGATCAGGGCACATGCCCGGGTTGCAGGCTGCAGCCGATCAATTACTCTCTCATCATTGATGTTTCTCTCTCTCTCTCTCTCTCCCTCTCCTTTCCTCTCTCTGAAATCAATAAAAGATATATTAAAAAAATAATAAAATAAAAAGTCCAGTTCAAGGCCTCATCTTTAAAGGCTTAGCATATTTATTGTCAAAATCTATGTATCTCAATTACCTACTGTACACAAGGCTATGTATCTCAAATACATATGTACTCACTGGTGTTGCTCACTGTTGCTTTCTGTGTCTGTCTTGACTCCCCACAGAACACAGGGTCATATCTTATACACCAGGTCTTCTCAAATTTTAATGTGCACATGGATCACCTGGGGATCTGGTTAAAATGGAGATTCTGATTCGGAAAGCCTGTGATGGGGTCTGAGACTGTATTTCTAACACATTCCCTCCATTGTGGTGCTGATGCTGCTGGCCCAGCACAGAGCTCAGTAATTGATTGCTGCTTTCCCTCAGAAATGTTGCAGGAGTCCATTTGATCTGATAGACACTGGTTTTCCTGTCTGCAGTGTGTTAAAGGGGTAATAATAGTTTGTCTTTGTTATGGGGAGGCAGTGTAGTGTGGTAGGCTAAAGCACAGGCTTTGAGCCACTCAAAATAAAAAGCTGATATTTATCAAGTACTTATTACATTTTGGGCACTGTGAATGAGCACTTTGTATGCACTACTGCATTTAATCTTTGGAAAGAAAAATTAAGAAATCAATTTGTTATGTTTGGGTCTTCAAAAAATAAGTTATCACTTTCTTAAGTGAGTTCTCTTTCTATAGGACTACAGAGCTTCTATAGATTTTGAATATAGTGTTCGTTTAAATAAATCTCTTGCTAGGACTTTTATACCAGCTGGTAGTTTAAAAATCATGACTGATTTTTCACACTAACCACTATTTTATGCCTTATATGAGTATAGGGAAAATGCTTCACAAGAATTTGAAACAACTAAAAAAAGTGTGCTTAACTTGCATAAGATAAGTGAATTATGAATTTACTAGTATAAGGCTATAATTCTTTTTAAAAAAATTTTAAAAAAAGATCTTTATTGATTTCAGAGAGAGGAAGGGAGAGGGAGAGAGAGAGATAGAAACATCAATGATGAGAGAGTCATTGATCGGCTGCAGCCCACAACCGGGACATGTGCCCTGACCAGGAATCGAAACCTGATTGCCTGGATCCTAGTTCGACACTCAACCGCTGAGCCACGCCCAGCTGGGCAGGTTATAATTCTTATTTCTGGGTTTCAGGAGCTCAAGAATGGCAAGTTTGGCCAAACTAAAAATTCATTTGTCTTTAGAATTCAAAATCTAGCTAGTAAGCATTATGTTAATTAAAAAGTTTATTTTTAGTTTCAAAAAACCCCATCATATTTCTGACTTATTTTTTATTGAGTTAAGAGGAATGTGTCCGTGTATGCAAATATATATATGCATGTGTTTTTACAATAATTCTTTGACTTTAGTACTATTATTCCCATTTTAAAGGTGTGGAAACTGATGCTCCATGAGAGTAAATGACTTAACCCTCTCTTGCATTGCTAGGAGAGGAGGCTGATCCAGATACAAACCCAATCCTGTATGTTTCCAGAGCCCACATTACTTTTAATATTTTATTTTGAAAAATTAAAACCTCCAAAATGTTTCAAGAATGGTACAATGAATATCCATATAGTACCTTTCCTCTAGATTCACTGGTTGTCACCATTTGCAAAGCTCACATTCTTAATCACTCTACCATTTATTAGGCATATCATGACCTTAGGATATTATACAACCCTTGTGTTTAATTTCTTCATCTGTAAGTGGATAAAATATCTATATTGAGGGTTTTAAAAATGAAGATTAAGTGAATAATGTACTTATTCTTTCAGCAAATATTTATTGAGCCCCTATCATCCTGGGATGAATACAAAGCACTGTTCTAAGCCAGGACAAAGCAAAATAGCACATTTCATGCCCTCTTAAAGCTCTAAGTCAGAAGTGGGAGGAGGGACAAGACAGTAAAGAACACACTAGGGAGTTTCAGGTGGCCTAAGCACGGGAGAAGAGAGCAATCTGGAAAGCATCCTGTAGGAAGTGAACTTTGGCCTGAGACCTGACCCATGAAAAGAATGAACCATGCATAAATGGGGGGGATGGGGGACAGAGTGGTCCAGCCTGCCTAGAGTGAGTGCCAGACATCTTTATCCAACAAGAAAGGCAGACTGAAGTTTTCATTTTCGGTAAGTTTTTCAGAGTCTGTTCTAGCTTTGTACATCTACAGCCCTTCATAAGATGCTCAAACATGGATTTCTGAAAAACGATCTTTATAAAAGTGCCTGAATTCCTTGGCAATTATTTTCTTTTAAGCATGTGAGTTTTAATATTAATAAACTGTGCTATTAACTAATGGCAGTTGCTGTTCCAAGGAATTCTGATTTGTGTTTCCGGAGTCTCAATAACCTTTTGTTTCTAATTTAGAAATTGGATGAAGACATGCATCAGAAAATTGCAAGGGAAATGAACCTCTCAGAAACCGCTTTTATCCGAAAACTGCACCCAACTGACGACTTCACACAAAGTAAGCGTTTTTTAAAACATCCTTGAATCCTATGAGAAGCTGCTTTCCCAGTGGGGGGAATGATATTTAAGAGAAATGCCCACTTGCGATTTGCATGTAGGTAGGAGAAACAAGGAGATTCTGATTTGGTTTTCAGTTAGTCTGGGGGAGTGGGGTTGGTTAATTTGAATGTTCCAGCCCCAGATCTAGCATCGCGGAGCCCTGAGATACATACTGAGTTCCCTGCTCCTTTCACAACGTTTCAGCAATTAATTCACGCTGATGAAAAACTTAGAAAAGGGTAAGAAAATGAGTCTGTGACTCACTTGTACGGGAAGGATCATGTCTGTCTCTGGCTTGTCTTGTCTTTCAGGTTCCTGCTTTGGATTAAGGTGGTTTACACCGGCGAGTGAGGTCCCCCTCTGTGGCCACGCTACCCTGGCTTCAGCAGCTGTGCTGTTTCACAAAATAAGTAATGTGATTTTTGAAAACATGAACCTGTCACTTAGCAAATGGCAAATATTTTAAAAAATTTTCATCCTCTTTTCAGTGACCAAGTGACCAGTATAAGACATGGCAGAGCTTATCTCATGCAGTACATTATCCAGAATCAAAAACAGCAACCTTCAGTAACTCTGGCCTTTCTGAGTATGTGCCAGGCATGCTGGGGAGCCATGGGTGTTGTTCCCTGGAATGTGGGGTCCCTGGCCTCTGTGGAGGGGAGCTCACAAGGCAGAATAAGTGTCACATGTGGTATCAGGGACTCAAAAGGCACTTTTCTCCCAATATGTCCCCACCCACAATGAAATGCATTTCATAACAAGAGTTTCTTCACTCTGAATTTTAAAGATGCATGCGCCCAACTACAATCATTTACCGTGTGAGGACAGGATGCAGCACCTGAATCCTGCCAGTTTCCATCTAAGCTGCATTTAGTACAACAGATAAAGATCAGGGCTTTGTGGGAATGAGGCAGAAGAAAGATGCTTGGCAGTGCCCTAAATTGGAGCGGGATGCAACCATGAGCAGTGTAGACACAAACAGAAAGTTAAACAAGGAAATAAACAGGATGCCATGGCAGGAGAACTGTAAGCAGTGGGAGTTAGAAAATGAGGTCCTTCGGGGAATTGCTCTAGGTGGGGGGTAGTGAGGGAAGGTGTTATCAGGCAGGTCCCACCAGGATGAAGATTCTGGGGCACACTTGCATGCCAAAGAACCAGGAGCAGTATTCTCAGGATCAGTATGGTAGGGGAGTAAAGAAAGGATTAAACAGAGGGAGAAGTTGAATTGCAAAGTGGTAGAAACAAAAAAGGCCTAGGCAAATCCACAGGAAGGTCTAATGCTACGAAGGCCCTTCAAGCAGTGTAGTTCCAAATAGGAGCAAAGGTTCAGGCCCTTATACCCTCCACTGGCCAGTCTCCAATGCCTAGAAAAGCAGCGGGAGTCTGGGTAAAGTAGCTCTCTTCAGCCAGGGGCAAGCCCCCCAGCAGGATTCAGCTGAGAGCTGCCAGTCACCAGCTGGGTCAGGGCTGGGTGAAGGGTGAGACATCAAGGTCTCAGGGTGCCTCCTTAAATTCTGTGCCTCCATACTTCCTTGCCTCTCCTAATGCTGGCCTTGAGAGGGGAGGGGCAAGATTCAGGACAATAGCATCTACTGGAGAAGGAATGACCTTTATGTTGAAGAATGGGAAGCCCCCAGTGCAAAGAGCTAGAGTGAGAGGAAGAGCATCCCGAAGAGGCAGCAGCAAATGCAAAGCCCCTGAGGCAGTCTGCATAACCGGAGGGTTGGAGCTTCCTGAGGGAGGGGGTGATTGGCAGATGACACTGAGAGTCAGGCCGAGGCATCTCTATAATGTAATCCATTTAAAATGCATAAAATGTATGCATTTTAAAAGGATAATTTTGGTTTCAGTGTACAGGGGACTAGAATGAAGGCAAGCAAACATCAATGAAATATTGCCCAAGATCTCAGTCTTGAAAAACAGGTTTTGCTGAAGTTGGAGTTGAAAACCCCACATTGGTTGGTATGAGGCTGAGGTTTGTAGTGACAGCCCTCAGATCCCCTAGAGTGGATTTAAGGTTAGATGAGATAAGGTATGAAAAAGTGCTTTGTAAGTAATAATTCCTTACACCAGTTATAATGAGAAAATTAAACTGGGTTTCAGAATGTAAATTTTATACTCAGTAGAAGTTAATAAGCAATGCTGAACTTCCTCACCTTCGAGATATGGTTAGGTTTTACAGAAATATTGGGGGGGGGGGGGAAGAA